TCAATTTAAAATCGTTAGTTTCCACCGGTTGCACTATGGGTAAAAATGGGTCCAAAATTACCCAAAATTCAATATCTCAACAGTACGCTAAATTCTGGCCATGAAAAACGACTTTTCCGAAGGGAAATCGTCCTGGGAATCGATTGCACGTGGTCCCATAGACCGGAGAGCCTTGTAGGTATGTGTTTTGGACCATTTTACCCCATTTTCACCTACTTTTTGGAGGAAATGTTTTTTCACAGCTCTATTTTTCGTAAAACATAAGCACTTTATGCATGGTGTTAAAATACTATGTCTTTAAACAACAGTTCATGAGATATTAGGGGAATACGGGGTACACTTTATAAGGGAGTAAGGGGTGAAAGTGAACCCTTGCTAAATTTATTATTGTAAATAAATGTTGAACGATGCGATTGTTGAATGACCCCAACAATAATAAGTTTTTTTTTCGAAATTTTAAGGTTAATTGGGGTTAAATAAGTTTTAATTTACTGCTTTATGTTTTAAAATAGTTTTCACTTTTTTTGTCTGTATACAGCAAAACGATATACACTGGAGTCGCTTTTTACGCGGGTGATACGTCCCGCGTAAAAAAAAACCGCGTAAATTCCGGAATCCGCGTAAAAAAAAACCGCGTAAATTCCGAAATCCGCGTAAAAAAAAACCGAGTAAAAAAAGACCGTGTAAGAAAAAATCGCGTAAAAAGCGATATACCGCGTAAATTCTGAAATCCGCGTAAAAAAAAACCAAAATCCGCGTAAAAAAAAACCGCGTAAATTCCGGAATCCGCGTAAAAAAAAACCGCGTAAATTCCGAAATCCGCGTAAAAAAAAACCGTGTAAAAAAAAACCGCGTAAAAAGCGACTCCAGTGTAGTGGTTCTCAGAATTTTATAAAAATTTGTAGTTTTGTTCCTTATCGCAACATATTAGACCCATATTTTGTATTTTGTCATTAGGCTGACTATTTATATATTAGGGCGGTCAAAAAAAAATTTTTTTTTCGATTTTTTTCAAAAATTTATAACTTTTGAACTGTTTGGCTGATGACGGAACTCAAAATACCAAATGAAAGTTAATTAAGAAATGTTTTCAGAAAAAATATTATGATATTTAAAAGAATTGATTTTGTATTAAAAAGCATTGATTGTATTTTCACATTGACCCCTTACTCCCCTATACAGTGTACCCCGTATTCCCCTAATATCTCATGAAATGTTGCTTAAAGACATAGTTTTCTAAAACCATGCATAAAGTGTTTATGTTTTACGAAAAATAGAGCTGTGAAAAAACATTTCCTCCAAAAAGTAGGGGAAAATGGGGTAAAATTGTCCAAAAATCATACCTACAAGGCTCTCCGCTTTATGGGACCACGTGCAATCGATTTCCCGGACAATTTCTTTTCGGAAAAGTTGTTTTTCATGGCCGGAATTCCGCGTGCTGTTGAGATATTGAATTTTGGGTAATTTTGGACTTATTTTTGCCCATAGTGGGTTGGTGGTACCGTCATAGAGGTAACTCTAAGACCACTGGGTCCCGAAGAAAATCATTATTATTTTTGGCTCACTCAGTACCAGAACAACGGTCCCAAGCAGTCCCAAGCTATTTCACTCACCCCTGCATGTTCTGCATGAATCCACACACCCCTGATGTTATCTGTCAAACTTTCATAGCGAATCAAAACAAACATAGTGTAGTAATAGAATTTCAACTAGAATAGGGTACGTTAATCGTTTGCTTGGGACCAATAGGCTACTAAAGTGGTGAGCCAATTTAAAATCGTTAGTTTCGTATTGATTGTTGGTACCGTCCACCGCTATTTCTCCTCGTATTTCTCGGCGGTCCTCATAGTTCAACGTGTACACGGGAAAAAATTCGTTCCGAAATTCGGGAACGTAAGTCACGAATCTCGGAACAAGTAAATAATTCGTTTTCAAAAGTACACCATGAAATCGTGAACATTGTTCCACAAAATAACCGCAACGCCTGCGTTAAGGTGTATTCAGACCTAAGCGAGAGCGAGCGATGCGGAGCGGACTTCGGGTATTCAAGTGCACTCGGTTCTCGGAGGCTGTGTTCCATTTGGTGAATTTTCTATTAAATTAGACACTTCGAAAATACGAGAACGTGTCTGCCAAAACTGATCTCTTGTCTGTCAGAAATAAGTTTGCTATTCTAGCAGGTTTATTTGAAAATATTCCATCTGTCAAATTTAAGTGAAAATTCACCAAATGGAACACAGCCTGAAGATGGCTTGATTTGGTTATATATCCGATAGGCCTTGACCAACACAGATGGTTTGGATTTCAAGATACAGCTAGTAAACATGAAAACTAGCACAGTTTTGTCAAAACCTTAGCATTTTCATTGATCTATTCCTCTAGCGTCTGTGATCCATTCCTATAGCGTCTGTAGATTATTTTGACTGTGAAAAAATTGAAAATAGGGTCGTCAACTTTTATTTAAAAGCGAAATTAGTCGTTACACGTTTTTTAAGGTGTGGTTATGGGTTTTGCAAGTAGCTTAAGATCTATAATTTAGATTAATGGGCACAAATATTCATAACTAGCCGTACAGTCATGCCCGAGTAGCATTTTTTTTTAATTTTATTAAAGAGATTTTTAGCCTTAGGCTAGTTCATCTCTAATAAGGTTCCTATATATGGTTCTCCAGAAGATCCGGAACATCCGTAAAAGTGGTCAATCCACGAAACTGACGCGTTCTTTTGAATTATTATTTAATTTTGTTGTAAAAACCATCAATGTTTGATATTTTTGAATCGACTAAGAAACATAGATCGAGATCATATTCCATTACCCTGTAGCCTTCTTTCAAGTTACCATTATTATATCCCCCCAATGAATTCCGATAAGGAATACTGGGGCAAGTTGAAACTCGTGGGAAAGTTGAAACGGCAGGTGTATCTCTTAGCGGAAGTGACTAACATTGTGCACTAGCGCAAACTACTAGATCTCGCGCAACACGAGAAAAGGGCCTATCATTGTTGATCGATTCTCTTTCGCGAATAACCCGACTGCAAATGAATTTCCCATTCAGGCTGTGAACCATTTGCCGAGTTAAATTTAACTCGTGGTTAAAAGTGACATTTCGAATGTTATTTTCTATGTTCGAAAATCCCTGTGCTGTCGATCGACCGGTTTTCGAGCCACAGTTGTCAAAATTTAACTTCTTGTCTGTCAGAAGTAACCACGCTCGGATAGCTGGGTTAGTCGATAACTTTCCATCTGTCAAATTTTAACCAAAAGTTAAAATAATTTGCCAAATGGTTCAGAGCCTCAGTGTGTTGATTCATACGCAAGCTAACATCATCTTTTGTCGAACTGTGCTGCGAGCTTAGCGAAAAAATCGTTTATGTTGCCGTGGTAAACCAAAGAGAAAATCGATTAAGAGAATCGATCAACGAGGAGCGTAAGCTGCTTTCTCACCCCAATGGGTCTGGGTTCAATCCCAGCCGAGGTCGGTGAGATTTTTCTGAGGCATAAAAATCTCTGGTCACGTCGTCCTTCGGAAGGGAAGCAAAGCCGTTGGTCCCGGCCCATGTGTGTTGAATGGGTCAGATTTCCTACGCAGGTGTGGAAGCTGCCATCCTGCACATTCGATTGCCGTCAATGGATGCCAATCGATGTCCGTCGGTGATTGGCACTAGATTGCGGAACAGAGACCGACGTTAAATAAATAAATTAAAAAAATATTGTCGCGCGTATGTTAAATTTTGCCCCTCTGTACCTTAATAAAAACAAACAAAAATTTAACCATTATAATGATTAAAAACGTACGTGGAAATTGAAAGTTTATAGCGCAAAATAGGATTCCCGGTTTTAAAATGCGCGGAATTAGGTGTAAAGACATATTGTGAGTGGCAGGATAATTTCTCAAAATGGAATTATACCATCTGTTCTCTGTTTATGGCCGTATGACTGCGCCCATTGATTTAACACACGGCGGCTCTTTATTCAGGATTTGCTCCTCAAGCCGCCGCCATTAAAAACTATCTAAGTTACACGCCTGTGTTGAATCCTTATGGGCGGGGTTGCATCGCGCTTAAGAGCGGTGCGCTTCGTCCGTCACCAAATGAGAATTTAACATAAGCGCGACAATATCAAACAATTTTAATATTTTAGCAGGCTTGTGTCTCAGATGTTGGTACTCTTATATTTTTCTTGTATAAAATTGTAGTAAACTGCTTTTTGTTGGATATAGTTTATCGCTAGTAGCTTTTCGGTATATGTTTTTCTATTTTCATTCGAAAGTTTTCCTGAAAAAGTACTTTTTTTTTTCCTTGGATTTGTTTTCCGTCGATCTTGTTTTCCGTGCTGAGCACCAATGCTACCGACGCCAGGAAGGCAGCTCCCACACCTGGACCCTACCTATCGACCCATCAACTCATGAACCGGGGACCAACGGCTTTACTTCCCTTCCGAAGGAAGGCGTGATCAGAGATGTTATGCCTCAGAACATCCCGGCGGCGCCGACTGGGATTGAACCCAGGCCTGCTGGGGTGAGAGGCAATCACGCTTACCACTACACCACCGGCGCAGCTTGAAAAAGTACTGATAACAACTAAAGTGAAAAACGTCAAAAAGTAACATGGAAAGGTATGCGTAGAACAGCAGTGCTCTCTCCCTAACTCGATATTCTCCTATCTCGATACCTCCTTTACTTACTTGATTACTTTACGTTACTTGATTACTTTTTTCACGCATTTTACCTTCTCAAGTCAATTTTACATATTTTTCCGATTATTTTACATAAATTCGTAGCTGTTCATTGAGGTTCAAAATTCAGCTTCCTAGTGATCTAGTAGAAAGATTTCAGGATAAAATCATAAATTAATTTGTTTATTCTAAAAATTAGAAGAAAAAAATCCCCTTGACTAATGTTTGAATAAAACGTTAAATAAAAAATAAATCATAGCTCAAAAGGCTACTAAAATTGTATTTTTTTTCTCTGATGTTCTGTAACTCAAAACCTTCCAAGTCATTAGTCCGTTGAATATCGAGTAAGGCAGAGTTGACTGTATACCCATAATTTTCCAGGATATTTCATGAACTGTTATGTTGGTGCTCTGGGATGTTAAATGGATAGACGGTTGGAAGTCCTGAGAAGATCAAGTCAGTCATCAAGAATTAACATTAGATAGGATTTTTATGGCAATTGTGTCCATTTCTGGTGTATTTCGCGCAAACGAATATTGATAAACTATATCGATTCAATTTGTATGCTTTGATTTGTGTCTTCTAAGTAGTAGTTCTAAGTATACACTGAAACTTCTCTCTTTTATAATTCCAGTTTGTAGGGAAATTTTGCTTTTAATGTTGCAGTCAAAACTGCCTATAACAAATGTGATGTTGCAAGACAAAACAAATCTATGATAGTGCAATTTCACTCAGAATAAAACTTGATGTGAAAAACGTTAAATCGTTGCACTCCGTATTTTTTCTATGTTACATTTCGATATCAAAAATCATATCGCTCTTAAATTCAATATCGCTAGAATCGCTGCGCTTAACATTCTTGCTATGTGGCTGTGACTTGACTTTCAGATTGCTGTTCTCTTTTTTGTTGGTCACAAATTTCTGGTCCGCGTTCCGATTGATTTCAATTGGTTTAGACGAATCCTTTTGATGATGGTTTTGTGGCCCGGATGCTACCATCTTTTCTATCGGGTGTCCTACATCCGAATCCAACGAGATTCCACTGTCATGATCGTGGTCTCTTTGTACTACTGGTGCCGATGCTCCATTGCTGCTCACAGTGTCCTAGTATCAATAATAAACAATGTATTTTAACCAATTAAACAAAATTACAATATGTAGGGAAAAGTCGGTAAAGACAGACATAACAATCGTTTAAGAATAAATTTAGCAATATACTATTTTAACATAAACATACCACTTTATTTAGTTCATGTTGTTCTAAATTTATTCTAAATAGATTTTTTTTAAATTAAATCGGTAAGTGTCCATCTTTCCTACCAGGGTCAATATAAGCGTCCATAACGACAGCGTTAAGGGCCACTCACATTAGATCCGTTTGCATTGCGTTGACGTAAATTTGACAGTTAGACAATAGATTTAGCTGTCACTTTGTCGCAACGCACCCGATCCGGATCGTGGGCCTTTAACGTATGCAATGGTGAATTAGAATTACAGACGTTATCGATGATTATCGATTAACAACCCTGTTTCCTACTGTGTCAGTCTTTATCGACTTTGTCTTATATTAATACCTTATCCTCATTATCGGTGCTTTCGCCCTCACTCAGACGGCGAGATAAAGCTCGTCGTTTGCTTTCGTTTTTCTTGGCATTTTTCTTCTTTTGGGCAAGAATGCTCGTGTTAGATCTGCAAATAGACGAAAACTAGTAGGTGATGTTCAAAAAACGATATCGCTCATGTTTCACATACCTGAACAATTTTGTTTTAATAGAATCGTTAAAACGAACCGTTTTTCGACAGCTTTCTGAAAGTTCACCGCTTGGATGCTCCACGGAGCCAGCTACACTTGATCCATCAACTGAGGTTCCCAGATAATAATGTTCATCGATAGACGAGCATTCACTAATGCTTCGTTGGAAAGATGAGCGCTTCAAGATTCCTTTGTATTTTCGGTTGAATTGTATTAAAGCTGATAAATGATCTACCGAGGACGAATCGGCTTCGGCACTGTCTGCTGAAGTGCATGATACGGAAACACTCCGAGATTTTCGTTGCTTGGATGCTGTTTCGGTGTTACCAGCAGATTCAAATATATTATGTTTTGTCTCCAACTGTGTTTTTGATTCCAACTGTGAAGTGTCTTGCTCCACCTGAAAAAAGAACAACACGAGTCTCGAATTAGAGGTATTCATAGGATGAAATGAAATATGCAATCTATTGCACTGCCTATAATCGTTTAGCAGTCCCATATGAATTTCGATAATTTTGAGATTAAAATACTATCCACTATTAATTGGCATCACCTTCATATTATGTAATAAAACCACATAAAACTACGGACTTTGATCATAAAAAAATTTGAAAACAACTTCAAGTCAGTTTGTCAAGCAAAGTAATCACATAGGGGAACTAGGGGCAAGAAGGTCACCCGGGGGCAAGAGTGCCACCCTCAATATATCTTGAAAATGAAAGCTTTTCAATCCTATCTCACCATGAATCAATGCATGGTATTCCCATGAAGCATTCTAGAAAAATCTGTCCGAATCGAAGTCGTAAAAAAAATGCAAAAAATCATTTTGTGGTGATGTATTGAAAGCTAGTTTTTTATATACTCCGTTCACATTACAGCCTATATCACGTAATATAGGCTGACTATATAGGCACTCATACATAGGATTTCCAGTGAAAACTAGATGTATGAGTGTTCATTGAAAGACAGCGTATATCACGTGATATACGCTGTAATGTAAACGGGTAATAAGAATAAGGCATCATAAAACAAGGTTTTCGGAATTTCCAATTTATTTTTTTCACAATTTCTGCATTTAGACGTCACTATTGATGGTTGATTGAAATATTAATTACAATAAATTATTAAATATTTTCTTTAATTGATCAAAAAATATGTTCCTAAAAATAAACGATGATTTGCGCATCCCTACTGCGCGCCCCAACCGCAAGACTTTGGCACACCCTGTGCGATATCAATTCAATTACACAGTTCTTTTCTTTCCTAAAGTGAGTTGTGCTTCATAGTCAAGAAAATCGAGACGCTTTTTTATTTGATTGACTACGGAAGAAATTCTCGTTCATTGTTCGCAGAAACCGAACCCCCAAAATTTACTCGATACCGTTAACACAGGGCAAGAGTGCCACCCCTACATTTATGTATAGAATTGTATAAAAATGTTCAGAAATTAACACAATGGGGCATTTATGTTTCCAATATACGTTGTTTTCGTGAAATTTTAGAAAACAAACTGTACAAAATAGTATCAAACATAGTTTCCATTTGATTTCTTTGACGCACATGGTTTATATGTTTTGAATAAAAATATCGTTAAGTAAAATTTTTTCTGGAATAAACAATAAAAGCAGTTGCTGACATACTAAAGAATCGTAATTTGTTGTTTCGCTTCATTTTCGACCTATGGCCTATTTGCTCCATAAGAGTGGCCCTCTTGCCCCATAACATTTTTTAGAGCAGGTACATGACATTTTGAAAAAATCATTAACATTTTTTATGGGGCTTAATTTTAATTTCAATGATAATACACGGAGACAAGATTATAAACTTTCAATTCTGGTGCACAATTTCCTATACGGAATCGCATATAACAACGCACTATCGTTAGGGTGACCGTCTTGCCCTTAGTTCCCCTATCAGTCTTGTCAGAGACGATGTCTAATAAGAGACGGGCGAAGACTGAAGCCAAAAGTTCCACTCGAACCGTCAAACGTGGTTCCAATCGAGCAATGTAACTAAACACGAGCGCTTCGCGAGGAAAGCGTGAGGAGTATTGTGTTTGCGAAAGAAATTTAATTTTTGTGATTTAAATAATTAAAATTAAGTTTGCGCATGAAAAGTGCAATTGGATGCTCTTTGACTTTTGGAATACAAATAAAACATAATTAAAATATTTTGAGATTATTTTTTTTTAATTTACATCAATTCAAAAAGCAAATATTTAAAAAAAAATAAGAAACCGCCGATCGACTGTCAAGTTTTTAATCACTGGATTGTTATGGCTGATGAATAAGTCAGAACATTTTGAACCTATCATCTAATTATGCATAGCATCATCAAAGTAGCTAGGAATATTATTGTTATTCACCAGCTGTGAATTTGAGGAAAAATGTCTAAAAAGGGATTTTTCGGTTACTTTTTAAAGGGACGTATCTGCTTTTGCAAACAATGCATTTGATCGTCGGTTTGGCGTAACTGGTAGCTCATCCACGGTTGTGTTAGCATGCGTGTGTGAGCTATCAGTTAAGCCAAATCGACGAGCAAATGTATTGTTTTCAAAAGCAGCCACGGGTTTCAAAATTTAACTTCTTGTCTGTCAGAAATGACCACGCTCGGATAGCAGGGTTAATCGATAACTTTCCATCTGTCTTTCCATCTGTCAATTCATAAGTTTAGTCAAATAAAAGGTGTGGTAAACATAGGTAAACATTATTAGCTTTCTCATGCATGTTACACGCCTACCCTGACGTCATGACATTGTACCAACAATCAATACGAAACTAACGATTTTAAATTGGCTCACCACTTTAGTAGCCTATTGGTCCCAAGCAAACGATTAACGTACCCTATTCTAGTTGAAATTCTATTACTACACTATGTTTGTTTTGATTCGCTATGAAAGTTTGACAGATAACATCAGGGGTGTGTGGATTCATGCAGAACATGCAGGGGTGAGTGAAATAGCTTGGGACTGCTTGGGACCGTTGTTCTGGTACTGAGTGAGCCAAAAATAATAATGATTTTCTTCGGGACCCAGTGGTCTTAGAGTTACCTCTATGATTGTACTACGTTCATGATATCAAAAGTGCCTAATACCATAGAGGTAACTCTAAGACTATGTAGTAGGTCCCGAAGAAACGTGCTCAACCATTTGGCTCAGCTCTGGTACTATCATAGAGGTAACTCTAAGACTAGAAGGTCCCGAAATAACGTGCTCTACTTTTTGGCTCAGCTCTGGTACTATCTTCGGTCCCAAGCTAATCGATTCACCCCTCGAAACAAAGGAAAAACCAATAACCCCTCATTTTATCTGTCAAACTTTCATAGCGAATGAAAACAAACATTGCGTAGTACTAGAATTTCGACTAGAATGGGGTACGTTAATCGTTTGCTTGGGACCAATAGGCTAGTCAAGTAGTGGCCCGAAAAAAAATAACAACAAAAATACAATAAAATACAATGTAACAATAAGACGAAAATTATTGTCTTAACAATGATTTATATTGTTACGTCTACAATAAATTTACCTTGATTTATGTTGTACAAAACAGTAAATTTCATGGTAAATGGAAAATTTACAATAAAAAAGGGGGGTTGTTAAGTATCTTAACAATGAAATTTTCGTGATTTCCCCATATAATTTTTTTTCAATAACATTATATATTATTGTTATTTTACTGTTGGTTGGCGAATTTATTGATTAAAAAAAATAACAGTGTACTTTAGAGTGTATGTGTTGGCTTGACAGATCTACTTTATTGACTTTAAAAATAAATCGAAAAAATAAAACATCGCCCCGGGGAGGGAAGGGGGTGGTAATGTCTGTTACGGGTGAGTCCTTTTTTTTACTGGTTATGGATTGAGATTCGATCCGGAACTTGTGAGAAATGGAAGCCAACTCCCCTGCACTCGATCTCTCTAGGTCACGTCTCCTTGGTGGTTGAACGTCGTTGATAAGTTAATGCATTCAACTGGAGAGAATCGCCCATGAAAATATGCTTCCACCTGAGAGTGATTTCCTGACATCTTCAAGTGGTGGATTTTTTTATTATTATTGTATGATTAGTGACTGCACGGAAAAGGTCTGCATTAAGCGGGATTTAGATGAGGCAGGAGAGTTGAGTTCAACTCAAACCGATCTGGTCGTAGGCGTTCAATTGACTTGGCAACGAATACAGCCAAACGAACTGTCAAAGCAAGAGCCATACGAGCAGCACCTATCTTGATTACATTGGCAGTGTTGCTGACCCTCTCATAGTCTGATTTATTTTTATTGTTCGTGAAGTAACCCACAATGAAAACACACCAATATTTAATGTAACAACATTTTTTATTGTAATAGAATTGTTCATTATTGTTCGTGATCGAATCATGTTAACAATAAAATAAATGAAAAATACAATAAAAATCATTGTAACAACATTTTATTATGTACATTCATTGTACAGCTAGGTAACAGTTTTGCCGTTTTCGGAAGGGTACAACATTATAACAATCATTTTTATTGTCGACAATAAATATTAATGTTAGAGCATTGTTTCCACTGAAAATTTCACTGTAATTTTTTTTTCGGGGAGCCAATTTTAAATCGTTAGTTTCGTATTGATTGTTGGTACTATCTTCGGTCCCAAGCTAATCGATTCACCCCTCGAAACATAGGTAAATCCACGAACCCGTCATTTTAGCTGTCAAACTTTCATAGTGAATCAAAACAAACATAGTGTAGTACTACAGACGGTATATATAGTAAACACAGACCGGCGGATAGAAATTCAGTAAAATTGGCAGCACGGTTAGTTTTACATTATTTTTCCTATTGTCTAGCAACACTTGCAAATGCTTACACATAGAATGACTCGTATTCAGTGCAGCAAGCTGTTATGTAAACAAGCTTTAATTTTGGTTTGAAAATGAAGTTTTTATATCGAGGGGGCGACACATCTAAAATTTAGATGCTCAATAAATCTCACACTAGCGAATAAATTTTCAAAAAATCTTCTTTCATTTCTCGCATCTACTTGCATCGCGAATCATCTTTTTGCAGGAAATCTTCAAAATCGTGATAAATCTTCTTTCTATCTACTCAGTGTACGCACAGCTAGCCACAGCAAAACACAATATTTCCTGCATCGTAGATAGAGTCGTCCCCCTCGGTTTATATAAAGGATGCATTTGAGAACATACATCCAAGCCCACAAACCTCGACAGTATCAAGTATGCAGTATCAAGATATTGAATATAATGTACCGATTTTGTTTATTATTCGCAATCCGTTAATGATACAAGTATGCAATCAAATCTTCCGGAGAATCTTGAATGTAACCAATTTGTCTGGAACAAAACCCAGAGTCCATAGTGTCAAAAAAAAAGTTCTGTAAGATCAAATAGTGATTATTTTGAGTGTTAGATCAATGTGAATCTATTGCGTACTTCACGTCTAACTGGACAAATGATCGCATTTCAACTTATTAAAAAGTGTGATAAAAGTGCTCGTTTACGTCTCATGTTATTGGTGTCTTCGGTGCGCTTATTTCTTGCATTATAAAGAATAAATGCACCCAAGACACCAAGAAGATTAAACGTTTTTTTATCATTAAAAACATAATAACGGAAAACCATGTTCGGGACTACTATACTCTCCACACATCATTCGTTTGTCCGTTTGGCTCAACATTTTGACAGTTCGTTTGGCTCCGCTAGATTCGTATCCGCCGGTCTGTGTTTACTATACCGTCTGTAATGTCACACTGCAGAATACAGTGTTGCCCACAAAATAATTGCTTGATCATGCCATAAGATTATGATTCTCTTAAACAATTAATAACTATTTAATTTAATGTCTGGCTGGTAAAGGGGGATTATCCAGGACAGATTTCTGGGGGTAATAAATTATAAGATGTGAGCGTTCAAACGGTAAATGAAGTAAGCTGCATGAAGTCTTTCGTGGAACGGGAAAAATCCTTACCTTCGAGTTTTTCGAATCCTTTCGAAGTATCTTGGATCATCTATTTTCACAATACCATACCGAAAAGATTTGTTCCATACTTTAGTTATCCGAAATTAGCACTGTTTACTTCGATCGAGACTTCGATGCAGCTCAAACATGGCGTCACGTTTTGCATTGAATTATTTTTAACCATTTTAAATTGCCGAAGATATTTTCAAAAATGAGGAAAAAGTACCCGATTTTGCATTTTTGTAAATACTCATTTTTTGACAGTTCAGACTAAATTCAAAAAGTGAGTAGAAGATACTCATTTAATGGGTACTTTTAAGTTAGCGTGTATCCTATTCAACATTTTCACGTCGGACGTTTCTCCCCTGCCGGGTAGTGGTATCCTGCCAATGTTCGCAGATGACACCTCCATCATCTATAAGGGTCGAGTGATCCGTGCTCTGGTGAGTAAACTCTCGAGTAAACTAAACTGGATGACCGCATAACGCGAACTATAACTTGAACTTACCGTTAAAAATGGTTAAAAATTGTTTATAATCCCTGCTAAACTTTAACTGAAATGGTTATGAAACTTTACATGAACGTTTGTGTGATAAAGTTTTAACCTTATGTATTATGCTTTTTTTTTTGGAAATGAACATTACAAATAATAGGTTGTAAAGAACCATTACCATTCATAAAAGTTGTTTTCTCCATACATTTTCGAAAAGAAAACTATAGGCTATTTCTATGCAGCACCAATAGGCTCTTTTCATGCACCATCACTGTAGAGTGCGCTAGCCGATTTTAAGAGGAAATATCATCCAATCCATTTGTTTACATCATAATGACGATTTTCAAAACTCAAAATAATGTGCATTTTATTGCACAACTTATTTTTCGATTATCTACAGATCTGGACTGATTTACAGCTGATATAACCACAAATTAAAAATCCGGAAGATCATGTGAAAGAAATGAATAAAGTTTTTTTTTGTAATTTTGAGGATTGTTTATACTTAATATGAAAGTTTTGAACAGATGTGTAAACAAGAGAACATAATCATGTATATGATATAAAACTGATTGGTTCCAAGTTACACTTCAAGTTGTATAAAGGTTTAAAGGATTCTCCAGTTCCAAATTATGGCCTACAAGGTTATGATAAAACCAAAATTATAACTTGGGATCAAGCATGGAAAATCATGTACATTCATTTCGTGCATGCAAATCATTTGCATCTAAAAAATTTCATCAATTGAATTTCGTAAAATTATGTATGAAACTTTCGTTGGTTTTGTTAGATACAACTTTTATGAGCAACTCAAATATGTATCTCATATACAAGATGATCCAGATCGGGAAAAATTTGGTATTGTTTTTCAATGAATGTAATTTACATTTACTGAAAAACAATGGTGGGTTCTGTCCGCTCTGGTGAATCATGCACAAGAGATACTGATTTGAGTTGTTGACAAAAGTTTTAGCTATTGACAAAACCTACAAAAGCTTCATGCGCCATTTTAAGGAATTCTGTTGATTAAAAAAGTTAGAGGCAAATGAACGTAAATGAATGCACGAAATGAATGTAAATGATTTTTCATGCCTGCTTAGGATGAGTATATATGATCTTTCCGATGATCGCACGATTTGGGATTTTCCGCATTCTTCCCGGTTTTTTTTTTTCCAGACGAATCAGAATCCCTGGTTTTTCTCGGATTTTCCGGTTGAATGGATACCCTGCCTTGGGCCACCTCTAAATGTTAACGAAAATATCTCAATTTTTTTAAATGTTACATACAGTATGCAAAAAAAGTTTATCCACCCCCCTACCAATTAACAATTTTTTTTTTGTTTTTCTGGTGAAAATCAGTTAAATTTTATGAGTGTTCCTCCATGATTTATCAATTTATGTTTATTTATCATATTGCCATTGAAAATACGGCGTTTATATCTTTTCTTGAGATCAGTGTTGGAAAAGTTCGCGATATTTCACGAAGTTCACCAAGGGAAAAGTTCGTGAGTCATAGTGATTTTTCGCGAACTTTTCCATCACTGCTTGAGATTGCATGTGATAAATTATGAAAAATGGTAAAAAATTACCCATAAAAAAGTTTATCCACCCCCAAACGGATTCTATGACTTAAGTGTGTTTTACAGAGTTTTAGTGTGTATTCTGCAACTTTATCGAATGTAAACATTGTGTCTATCTGTTATTTACTAAGAGAAGAGGTGACAATACGGGGGCGAAAAAGAACCACTTTTCTGTCAAACGTGAACCAGCTCCTGATTGGCCGATTTCAAGTGTGTAAGATAGAGATAGATAAAGATAGAGATAGAGATAGAAATAAAAGAGGAAGAAGCCAATTGTCACCTCTTCCTCTTAGGTTATTTAGTGCTCTTGAAGTTTTCGTGCTCAATTCGTGCTGATTTCGTGTTCAAAATTCGAAGTTATTTGTTGCAAAATGCCCAAAAAAGCACAAATTTTGATCAGTATCCGAAATTTGATTATTAAACATCACAAAACTGGCAAAAGCTACCGTGATATTGCCGATATTGTCCAGCTTCACAAAGATACGTACGCTAGAATTGTGCAGATGTACAAAAAGCGTGGTTCTATCTCATCAGCTAAGCGATAGGGCGTCCTTCAAAGACAACTGGCCGAATTGACAGAGCTATCGTGAAGAAAGCGGAGCTGGACCGGGGACTATCAGCTCCGAAAATTGCGAAACAGATTAAAAGCGAGTTTTCCATTCAACTGACATCACAATCCGTACGAAATCGTCTTCATAAGAAAAGTCTTAAGGGCAGAGTAGGTCTTAAGAAGCCATGTGAAACTGCCATAAAAAACTGTTCTCGAGGCTAATGGTCAGCCTAATGAAAAATAAAATAACAATTGCTACCTTACCTTCAGTTGATCACAGCATGACTCCGAAAGAGATCGTTTCTTGTTTTTCCGGCGATGGTTTTTCCTAGATTTCTTTCCCTCGTGCACCGAATCTTGTATGTCCTTTCCTTGATCGACAACGGCAATATTAGTATCCTGATTATTATTTTCAATTATTTCGTTATTTTTGCACTGTTTGTCTTGTTCTTGTACGGATTGATCAGTCTTTTGTTCTCCATCAAGAACTTCATCACTTCCATCTTCGTTATCGGTATCACCTTTCGTTTTAATCTCGATGCTAAGATTGGAAGATTTCCGTTCTGGCTTGGTTGCAGTTTTGGATACCGCTATACAAAGACTGTCATCTTCAATATGTTTGCCAAACTTGTTGAGTTTATCTGTGATGTCTTCCATAATAGAGTATTCCACTAAATCATTTTCATCTGCTCCAACGCAATAGCTATCCACGAATCCATGATCGAGAACCACTTGCAAAATTAAATTGTTGTCCCATTCCTCATGCTGTACCTCAGTGATGTTGGCGTTAGGAAACCGAACGAAGAACACATAATAGCAAGGGAAAAATCCGCTACCAATATTCGTGAATCTGCAACTGAGTGCATCCGTGCCTTTCCGTAGGATAATGCTGGACGGGTCAACATTCCGAACGTTCAATGTAAATGCAAAGATATTATCCATCTTATTTGCAGAAAACTTTGGGAAGATTATCTTCTTCGTAGCATTACTGGAAATAACTTGTGCGCCCTTAGGCAGCTTTGCAGGCTCAACTAGTTTTTTATCCATTGCAGGCTTGACTTCTTTTGTAACACTAAAATGATAGAAAATATTACTTAATCTTAATTTTTTCATGACACACACAAACAAGTAAATTTTACTACAAATTTAAACACAAACTATTATTGAGCATTGAAAATTTAAAGGCAATAAGAAGTAGGGCAAGATGGGTCTGCTCATTGATTTATGTAACCACATTTAACCCCAATGATGGTTTACATTTTCACACCATCATTATGGCTACATTGAGCTTGTTGATGTTGACAAATTAATAAATCAATATATTAGGTAGTTGATCCATCCTGCCCCGAGACTCATTCTATCCAATTCAACCCTGTTACTTAAACATGTGGTCATCCTTAGAAAAATCAGCAAAGACAGAACTATCAAGCAAAACCATGCTGGAAGTGATAGGTTCGATTGCCGGGCCAATCGTAGAGATTTTCGAATTGAAAAGTTCCTTGACTTCCGGGCATCATTCTGGTTATCAAGGCGAGAAGTCTAACACATGATTTGTTTGGTTAGTTTGATTTTCTTTATTTTTAAGAGACTTTTAGCCGATGATTATTTGCCATTCAGTATGTTTTAGACAAGGGTTATTAAATTATTGGATCAATTAACAAACTAATACAAAAAATCTAATTACCTTCCAATATTGCCAGCCACATTGATGTCATTCAGCGTCCGCCGACTCTTGACGACAGGAAGTATGATGGTTAACGTCCTATCATCGGTATTAAATTTCGCAGATCCATCCTTTTCTACCACTTCATACGGCAATTTGACTTGTAGTTTGTACTTTTCTGGTTTTTCACTGATCAAATGTACCTCGCTGCTAGTAACATTTAGAGTACAGTCATTAGCTGATTTAAGTAAGGGTAGCTCAATGACCAGCACAAGCTCCTTCGGGATGGCAACGTCCACCTTTGCATCTAATTCTTCTGTTAGCTCGTGATATTCTATCTCTTTTCTGTGGACAAGCTTGTAAGATGGAGCAGCATACTCCAACTCAACTATCGGTTTACAAGCTTGATTGTTCATATTTTCTTTATCACCGCTGTTATCTTGTACCATTCGATTTTGTTCAGGAATAGGATAAACTGTATCAATTAGGCCATCTTTCTGCCGGTTCCCAAAACATTTAGACTTTTGTCGAATCACAGTCATTTTCGGAATACCTTTGTACTGTAGCTTGGGAAACTTAAGATTAACTTTATCCAGCAGAACGTTGAATGCACCTTCCACAGCATCCAAGGCAGTGTCAGTTACTAATTTACGAAAATTGTTGTTACTTTTAGTCAAATGCAGTGTATCGTAGTGAAATACGACATCGTAAACAATACATTCGACATTTTTGTTATCAAAATCCTTTCTAGGCTGGCATTGAGCATACGGAATGCTCCACTTGAGACCCTTTTGGCCCTTTTCATTGTTTGAGCACTGACTAGCCGGCTTCCCGATCAGGTCACAGTGGCAAACATTTACAAATCCTTTTACCTTTCCGTCGACAACGGTCTTAATTACATAACCCGGCAAAGGTTTGATGAACTTCACGTCGTATCCCCTCTCAGCTTCCAAAAGTTTAAGTTCCTCCTCGTATTGCTTCCGGTTCTCCGGATCGTTGAGCTCTTGACAGTATTCAGCAAACAATTTCCGGAACTCTTCATCCCCCAAGCACTGCGTAATGTTCCGAAATTCATCACGAGAAAGTTCAATTTTTTCCCCAACGTTCGACATTTTGTTTTTTCACGTCCCACTATATGCTGAGCAATTTTTTCTTCCACTTTTATTCTGAGCACAATCTTCACTCTTCGTTGCCGGCCGCCCTCGTGAAATTACGCAGTAATATTTTTTGTCAACGGTATCGGTCAGAAAAAATATGATGCAACCAAAATAAACTTTGTTGACAGACTAGACCTACTTAGACCAGCTAGCTAGAACCGGCTACCACCTGGATCACTCACGATTGCAGAATTTTATCAAAAATAACAACACGAATTCACTCAGGTCTTCAAGCTCAAGGGAAATCACGAAAAATTACTACGTGACCAATCACACCACGTTCCTAAACAATATTGATCAAACTATTAAATTTTTCACTGAATTCAGCACTTCTTCACCTCATTAGATGATTAACACCAATTAGTAAAAAATAAATCACATTAAATACGGAGAAAATATTCCTTTTATATTTGAAATTGATAGAAAACCACAAAAAATTGAACAACAATTTCACTGATCTTTCATTGAAAAAAGTACAACTACAAACATTACGAATACCATATCAGCTGACATTAGCGCACGTCACACTCCTCAATGGATAAAACCAACACAAACGTATTCGTGTTTGTTTACAATCTCAAACAAATGAACGGCACGTTAAATTTTGTGAAAGAGGTGATTGTGATGCAATGTAATGTAAGAAGCTGAGGCAATTTTAATGTATCATCTCTTTCGTCCTCTCACTGATTAAACGCGTGATGCTGCATACTCCGTCACACTCAATTAACCATTCGCACAGTGGACGAATGAAAGAGACGACAAATTCTCATTATCTCACCTGTATACATTGCATGGATTGTGATGTTCAGCGGGGATGCGAATCTTCACGGCAACCTCAAAATACTCAATAACTAGATACGGTCAACCTACTTCCTCAAAATTGAGTAAAATTTCTCTAAAAATTATAAAAAGTGCGGTTACAGCAAGGGTCAATTGATTATGGTATATTTTCAATATTTTAATATATTCACGCTTAAACGCTGACCAGACTGGGCTGGGCAGTTAAAACAAACGATTTAAAATTGGCTCACTACTTGACTACCCTAATAAAAATAACCATACAAGAGAGCTTAATACCATAACTCTAAGACCAGAACCCGCATAAGCGCGAACCATAAATTGACCTTACCTAAAATGGTTATAAATTGTTTATAATCCCTGCTAAACTTCAACTGAAATGGTTATGGAACTTTACATGAACGTTTAATGATAAAGTTTTAACCTTAAGTATTATAGTTTTTTGGAAGTGGACCTTACAAATAATGGGTTGTTAAGAACCATTACCATTCAAAATTCTTGTTTTCTCCATACATTTTCGGGAAGAAAACTGTCCGATCACGGACACTGGAGATGGTGTGGCAATCCTCGGCTCGGAGGATTCCAGCTGATTTGGCCAATTCCCCCTGTGGGAATGCCAACAGGAACACAACGCAAAGCTCGACTGAAATTCAATTCAACTCATAGCCCTGAAAAGGACTGTTTTGGCTTCGGCTTGTCCAAAGAGGAAAAACGAGAATGAATTAAAACTTTCAACGGCGCTATATTTCGGTGTTTGCTTTACAAAGCTTGTGGACTGATTTTTTTTTTAAATGATCTTTATTTTAGTTTAACTTGGACGATTACCATATAAATTTTTACTAAGTGATTTAATTGCTTTCTTCATCGTTAGGTATGGGCAAAATTCAAAATTTGTTTTACAGAATTAGTCCTAGACTTAGTACACGGTCGACCACCTTGGTGGGATTGGTTTGTTTTGTTTTTAGAATTTGAAGAGAAACTACTTAATACTACTATTTACAGCTTAAAACTTACCTACTCTACTATATACACTTAACCTACTATGTACAAATTGCTTATTAAAGCATGTTCAGAAAGATTGCATTTTTGAATAAATTTAGTTGTCATATCATCAATTTTGGAATCTACTTTGGGAATTTCTGCCTCTTGATGGAGGTCTGCTATTCTTGTGTCGAATGGACGATCTAGGATCATCCTCAACACTCTATTCTGTGCAACCTGGATTTTGTTCCTGTGGGTCTGAGCGCACGATTCCCACACCGGGGCGGCATAGAAGATCGCGGGGGCTATGATCTGTTTGTAAACAGCCAGTTTGTTTTGCCTTGAGAGGCGGGATCTGCGGCAAATGAGCGGATACAAACACCTAACCAAGGCGGAGCACTTAACTAGGGTTTTCTCTATGTGCGAGCGGAACAGGAGCTTCTCATCGAACAACATCCCGAGATAAGTAACATCAGTGGACCACTCGACCCTTGTACCATCCATTATTACGGTACAGGAGGGAGACGGTTTAAGTTTTAATGATTGTCTGTGAAGGAACATGATCGCTTGGGTTTTCGAGGCGTTGATTTTGATTTTCCACATGGTGGCATAATCAGTAAAGGTGTCAAGGCATCGTTGGAGCTTGTTCGTAATTTCACGAGGCATCCTACCCTTGACAGCTATCGCGGTGTCATCTGCAAACAGAAAGAACACGCAACCGTCTCCTAGAGGAGGGATGTCCGACGTGTAGATGCTGTAAAGCAGTGGTCCCAGCAGACTCCCTTGCGGAACACCTGCTGGGATCGGAAATTGTCCCGAAAGGGAACTATTCAACGACACCCTGAACGACCTTTGCTGGAGATAGTTACGGGTGATTTTCACAAGGTATGGTGGAAAGTTGGAGTTACAAAGCTTGTATATAAGTCCGTCGTGCCAGACATTGTCAAACGCCTTTTCGACGTCTAACAAGGCCATGGCTGTGGACTTGGATACAGCTTTGTTACTCCGGATGTTATTCATCACCCGCACTAGCTGATGATTGGTGGAATGCCCCTTACGGAACCCGAACTGTTCCGGAAGAAGAATGTCATGTTCCTCCACAAACTTGTTTAGTCGGCTGAGGATCAATTTTTCGAACAGCTTGCTCAGCGCTGAGAGCAGGCTAATCGGTCTGTAGCTTGACGGTAGTGAAGGGTCTTTCCCAGGTTTGCGGATCGGGATGATTTTTGCCACCTTCCAGATGCTTGGAAAGTAGTGCAGCTCCAAGCATCTGTTGAGGATGGCAGCCAGCAGCGAGTGCACCCTCGCGCTGAGATTTTTCAACTCTAGGTTGAATATTCCGTCAAACCCGGGAGCCTTCATGTTCGTACTGTGTTTCAGCGCTGAGCAAATTTGTTCCTCTGTAATCCGTTCTTCTGGAGGGACGGCACAAGGGGAGGCATCTAACGTCTGGACGCACTGCACAACCTGGTTCTCGAGTGGACTTGGGATTGTAGAGCCAAGCAAATGCGACTGGGCAATGTGCTCCCCAATTGCATTGGCCTTCTCTTCGTTGGTGATAAGCCGTTCGTCATTGACTCTAAGTGGTGGAATGGGCTTGGGGTGAGACTTCAGCACCTTGGCAACCTTCCAGAATGGTCTGGAACGGTCGTCCAGGTTCTGAACGAGCCGCCCGAAACTCTCGTTCCGGATTGAGACCATTCTGGAAGCGATCTGCCGATTCAGATCGACCATTTCGTATTTACGCTGCAGATCCCCAGTCCGCTGAAACTGGCGTCTACGAACATTTCTGAGCCGAATCAAGAGTTTGGTGTGGGAATCAATTGCTTGAAACTTACCCCTCACAGGAACTCGTCGAACGCACTCTTCGTCAGCCACGGATATGGCTTGATGGAGACCCTCCAGGGCCCGGTCGATGTCATCCACTGTGTCGAGCGGTGGGTTGTCGTCGATGTGGCGGTCGACCACGCGTCGAAACTGGACCCAGTTGACTCGATGGTAGTCCTTCCGCTGGCACGGTGCAGGGGCCACGTTGTAGCCCAGCTCGGTCAGCACCGGTTGGTGGTCCGAACTCAGGTCGTTGACGGCAACCGGCTTGGCTAATCTGGTGTTTGCCAAGAACAGGTCCAGCGTCGATGGGTTGCCCGTCGGTGATGTGAAGGTTGGTTCGTCCGGAAACCAGACGGAATAGAGACCATGCTGGGAATGGTCGAATAGCAGGCGGCCGTTCTGGTTCTGCTGGTAGTTCCGCCAGGCCTCGTGCCGGGCGTTCAGGTCCCCTCCGATTACAAAGCGGGCATTGGTGTGGGTTATGATGGCAAGGTCGTTCTTGAACTGCTGTGCTGTATCATTGCTAACGGTACATTGCCGGGGGCAGTAGGTGGCGATGAACCGGAAGTTTCCGGTCGATGTTTCCACCTCTACGCCAACGGCCTCGATGATGGAAGTGCGGTAGTGGGGTAGGGTGCAGTACTTGATGCCTTTCTTGATGATGACCGCGACACCGCCCCCCCTGGAGCTGGTGCGATCAAACCGGACAATGCTGTGGTCGGGCAGCCAGAAGCTGTCACCGGTCTTGAGGTGGGTCTCGGTGAGAAGGCCCACGTCGATGTCGTGCTTGCGGAGGAAGTCTGCAAGCTCAATGTTTTTCGCCCCTACGGAGCGAGCGTTCCAGTTGGCGATCTTTATGGGTTCACGGTCCATAATTAGCGACGAAGGAGATGATAGCTTGGAGCTGTTGTGTTCTTGTTGCGCAGGTGCGCTTGATGATGATGGCCTGGGCCAACAGTGTGACGATCTCATCCGTTGACAGCGGAGAATCGTCTGTAGCTTCACCGGTTGTACCGGCCAATCCCGGAGCAGGGGGATCCGTCGATGGCCCGGAGGCTTGACCGGGTACTGCAGCGGCAGCCAACTGTTGGTTGAGCGGAAGCGGCGGCAACACTGGAATTGGCCGTGATTGGACCGGTGATAACGGAGGAAAGTTCTGCGCGTTGTTTTCTGGAACCTTCTTGCGACCGGGCTGGCTGTTAGACGAGGCCTTCTTCCGGATCTCGGCGTATTCGGCCCGCTTCGGACAGGCCTTACTCGTGGCCTTGTGGGCGGCACCGCAGTTGGCGCATGTGGGAGTGGCTTCCTCGATGCTGTCGCAGTTGTCGATCTTGTGGTTTTTGCCGCATTTGATGCAGCGGCTGGCCATGCGGCAATTCCTGGTGCCGTGCCCGAACAATAGGCAGTTCGAGCACTGAGTGACGCCACGGTGGGTGGGTTTATACCGCTCCCACTTCACTACGATGTGGAACAGTGTGCGTGTCGTCTGGAGATCCTTCACGGTTGTGGAGTTCTTCTCCAGATGGACCAGGTAGAGCTGGTCACGATACTTGATGGCCTTGCTGCGGGTCATCTTGTGGACTTCGACCGGCTTGAGGCCGTTCGCCTTAATCTCGTCCATTAAGGTGGTGGTGTCCATGTCGTGGAGCCCGCGCAGCACCACTTTCAGCGGCTTGGTGGCCTCGATGTCGTGGGAGAAGTACTCCAGCTTCATTCTGTCCAAGAGGGCCTGAACTGCGTTGAAGTGTTTTTTGGCCGGGACCATCAGTTTGTAGCCTTCCGTGCACCGTTGAATGGTGCAGCGAAGGCCCTGCTTAATGTAGAAATCCAGCTGCTCCCATAGCCCGGG